GTCTCTCTCCGGTCTCTCTCTGGTCTCTCTCTCTGGTCTCTCTCTCTGTGGTCTCTCTCTCTGTGGTCTCTCTCTCTGGTCTCTCTCTGGTCTCTCTCTCTGGTCTCTCTTTCTGGTCTCTCTCTGGTCTCTTTCTCTGGTCTCTCTCTGGTCTCTTTCTCTGGTCTCTCTCCGGTCTCTCTCTGGTCTCTCTCTCTGGTCTCTCTCTCTGGTCTCTCTCTGTTCTCTTTCTCTGGTCTCTCTCTGGTCTCTCTCTGGTCTCTCTCTGGTCTCTTTCTCTGGTCTCTTTCTGGTCTCTCTCTCTGGTCTCTCTCTCTGGTCTCTCTCTGGTCTCTCTCTCTGGTCTCTTTCTCTGGTCTCTCTCTCTCTGGTCTCTCTCTCTCTGGTCTCTCTCTCTCTGGTCTCAGTCTCAGTCAGTCAGTCTCAGGTTGACACACGGTGACGAAGTTGGTCCTGACCCAGAGTTTTGAGCCTGTCAGACTTCCCGCTGCAGTTGATATGAATCTGTTTGACTTTTATGCAAATCCAGCGGCTGTAGGTAAGCTAATGCTAACGCTAACGCCCTGTGGCTAACGGCCGGTGTGTGTGCGTCACAGTCTTCTTCTGCCTCTGTCCCTGAAGCGTTCGGGATAAGGATGTGAAATTCTAGATCAGCGTTTCGTAGCTAAGGCCCCTGGGCTCCTGTCAATCCCACAGACACACACACACACACACACACACAGAGGAACACACATGCTCAGAGAGCGAGAGAGAGACACACACTCATCTGAATATATAGACACGCTCACATGCATATGTATACACACACACGCTCTCTCTCTCTCAGACACACACACACGCACAGAGAGAGAGAAAGAGAGAGACACACACACATCTGCATATATAGACACACTCGCATGCATCTGTGCGAGTGTACACACACTCATGCACGCAACACATATACAGTTTCACACACACAAAAATTCTGCAGAAATTACAGTCCGACAAACGCACACAAACACACCACATCTATACAGACACACACACACACACCACATTCATACACACACACAGACACACACACACACCACATTCATACACACACACAGACACACACACACACCACATTCATACACACACACAGACACACACACACACCACATTCATACACACACACAGACACACACACACACCACATTCATACACACACACAGACACACACACACACCACATTCATACACACACACAGACACACACACACACCACATTCATACACACACACAGACACACACACACACCACATTCATACACACACACAGACACACACACACACAGATTTGCATAATGAAGTCATTTGTTGTGGTGCTGCTGATAACATCATTGAACGTGTGTAAACGCTGGTAGTGGTTTGTTGACAGTTACCGTGGAGAATCACAGAGACGTTTATCTGACATCGCCACGGCAACACGCCGCGTTCAAAACCTGCCGAGTGTGTTCTCTCTTTGCCAGAGTCACCAAAACAAACTGAATATTGCTGACAAACAGGATCAGTGTTTGTCAGAGGACCCTCTCTCTGGTCTCTCTCTGGTCTCTCTCTGGTCTCTCTCTGGTCTCTCTCTGGTCTCTCTCTGGTCTCTCTCTGGTCTCTATCTGGTCTCTATCTGGTCTCTATCTGGTCTCTCTGGTCTCTCTCTGGTCTCGCTGGTCTCGCTGGTCTCTCTCTGATCTCTCTCTGGTCTCTATCTGGTCTCTCTTTGGTCTCTCTCTGATCTCTCTCTGGTCTCTATCTGGTCTCTCTTTGGTCTCTCTCTGGTTTCTCTGGTCTCTCTCTGGTCTCTATCTGGTCTCTCTTTGGTCTCTATCTGGTCTCTCTGGTCTCTCTCTGGTCTTTCTCTGGTCTCTCTGGTCTCTCTCTGGTCTTTCTCTGGTCTCTCTCTGGTGTCTTTGTAGGCTGTAGACCCAGGACTGAGACTGTAGACCCAGGACTGAGGCTGTAGACCCAGGACTGATGCTGTAGACCCAGGACTGAGGCTGTAGACCCCGGACTGATGCTATAGACCTAGGACTGAGGCTGTAGACCCAGGACTGATGCTCTAGACCTAGGACTGAGGCTGTAGACCCAGGACTGAGGCTGTAGACCCAGGACTGAGGCTGTAGACCCAGGACTGAGGTTTCTTCTTCCATCCAAAAACCAACCCCCGTCACATTCTCACTGCTTATGTTGCATGTTCTGCTTTGATGTCCCTGCAGCGAGGACCACGACGAGCCCCGATGAAGGAGGGGAATGGTGTAATTGTGGCTGTGTCTCTGAGATGAAACAGTGGAATTACAAAGTGCCGTGCAGGAGCTGTGTACTCGCGGATAATGAGATTGAGATTCCCGTGTTGTGGTTCTGCGTGTTAGCGTTTCATCATCTTCCTCTTCCACAGATGAGATTATACTGTATTTGCTTTAACGCTGTTGTTGCCGTCGGAGGAAGACTTTGAGCTGGTTCTGTGCCACCGATATGTGTCGAAGGATC